TTCAGTAAATGGCACCATCAATCAGTTGTTAAGTCAACAATTTAGAGGTAATCCTGCATTTTCCCCTTTCCCTTATTTCATGTGGCAGCTGTGAAAATGCACCTCTCAGATGTCTGATTACAGGGAGCATTATTGACTGATGTACCCCTGATGCTGTGCTCTGAAATCTATCACCATGTTCCAGGCTGTACCTCCCACCGACTGCTCCCAGCCAGTGACTGAGTATGGCAGGGACACTAAGGCAGGCCCATTCCTGGGAAACATGGCTCATTTGATGGGGGACGTTGGCTTGAAAACTCCTCATTGGCTTTCCTAAAACTTTCTTGAACTGCATCATATCCACAGCTTTTCCTACCCTACATTTCCTGCCCTCCACGAGAGCTGAATCTGCAGCTAGTCTACTGGCTCTTCCAGTCCCCTTCAAACCCCTCCCGATTTTTTCCTCACAGGTGTCTCCTCCCATAAACCTTCTGCAGGTCTAATCTGATCTTGCTGTCACTTCTCAAAGAACCTGAACTAACACATTGTAGTTGCTCATCAGCAAATTGAAGGTCATTTTTATTTCCTAAATACATTTCTTGCACTCTTCCACTTTTCTCTTGCCATCACCACTTGATTAGAGGCTAGGCCATTTGTCCCCTGGATTCCTGCAACAGCCACCTACCTTCATTTTATGCCTCTACAATCCATTCTCATTGCAGTAGCCAGAGTGATTTTTTCAAAATAGTAAATCAATCATGCCATTTCCCTGCTTAGGACCTCTTGATGACATCCCACCATGCTTAGAGTAAAATTTAAACTCCTGCCCCTGCCACAAAATGCTTTAAAAGCTGGTCCTTGCCTCTCTTTTCAACTTCATCTCATATCACCTTCCCTCTTATCCCCATGCTCACCAAGCTACAGACATACTAGTGTCCTTTCTCTTCCTACAAATTGTCAAGTCCTTTCCTGCCTCAGGGTCTTTCTACTTCTTCCTAAAATACTCTTCCCCCATCTCTTCAGAGCATAGCTCATTCTCATCCTTAGTGCTCAACTTAAATGTCCCCTCATCAGTGAGGCCTTCTCCACCCAAGTTATTGTCTCTACCCCAAATTATCCTATTTCCTCCCAAGTAGTTATCACTATCTGTAACTATTTTGCTTAGTGTCTGTTTCTCTCTCTTGAACAGGACTAGGCAAATTCTGGACCATGGGCAGACAATTGTTTTTGTATGGCTCATATTCTAAGAATGGTTTTTACATATTTAAGTGTTTGAAAAAAGTTATTTAAAGACTATTTCATGACACATGAAAATTAAGTGAAATTCAACTTTCAATATCCATAAATAAAGTCAGAACACAGTCACTCTCATTTATTGATGTATTAGGTATGGCTGCTTTAACACTACAACAGTAAAGTTGAGTAGCTATGTATGGCCCACAAAGCCCAAGATGTTTACAAAGTCTTCTGACTGCTGCACTAGAATGGAAGTGCCTGAGATGCAGGGTCAGGGGCATTGATTGTCTTATACAGTCCTTCACCCCCAGGGCCTGGTCCATATCTAGTGCTCAGTAATTACAGGTTGAACAAACCTTCCCTCTCTTCTGGGGCCATTAGTATCTGAGGGGGTAGGTGGACTTACGTCTTATTGGCTTACTCCCTTCTAAGATCCAGTCAGAAAAATTAGGAACCAATTAGTATTGATTCTGGGAAAGTATCTTGCAAATAGGACTGTGTTTTATTCATTGAGAAATACCTAGCAAAGTCCCTTGCACAAGGTGGGTGCAGCTGGAACCCGAAACAACTCTTGGGGTTACTGTTAAGAGGAAATTAGTGCATGCAGAGCATTTAGCAGAATGTCAGGGGTACAGAAATATTCGATAAATTTCAATACAGTTTGCTCCTGCCTCAATTTTCCTTTCTGTAATGGGAACTAAGTTAAACAAGAACATTCTGTGTAACAGCTCTGTAAACCATAAACACCATCCAAATGGACTTATCCAAGTGCAGTATATTCATAACTCAGCGCTGAGCAGCCCAGTTTGGAGGGAAGAGCCCTCCTCACCTGGAGGTGAGACCTAACTCATTCTAACTCTTACCACTTATTAGCTGACCCTGGACGATCGTGGTTTCGGTGTTGTGCTCCTTCATGTATAAAAGCAGCCTCTGGACGACAAGACCGTCCCTCTGGGATCCGGCCCGCTTCTCTCTGCGGGGCTTTCCCCTTTCCTGTAGGGAACGAGGCCACCAGACCTCTTGTCCTCCCGCCAGGCGAGCGGAGGCGGCCGGAGGGGCGGAACCAGCCCGGGGTGGGGCGTGTCCGGGGCGTGTCCGGGGCGTGTCCGGGGCGGGGCCTCGCTTTCCAAGCCGTCGCCTCCAGGCC